GCTTGAGCAGAAAAATTTTCTCTCATAGCTTACTGTTGTTTTTACAAGGTTAGAAATAACAATCGTTTTACAGTATCTGTAACCAGAAAGTAGACATTTTGATTTCAAAACTTTTATGCTAATACTTATTTATTTTATACTTGCAGGACTGGTTGGCATTTTTAGGTAACGGTTCCAGTTTCAATTTTACGAAGACAGGAGAAGTAACTTTACCCAACATTGGCAAACCGATAGCATATGACAACTATGGATTCTGTCAAGTATCGTACTCTTTTAAGAATGTTATAGTTTTTGTGCACGCCTTGCGTGCCTGTCTTTCTTTAGGAATCATTGGATTGGAAACCCATGTGCTTCGCGGTCAAAAGTTTTCGTTATTCGTGTTTGTGGATTTTGTGAGCGTTTCATCGAATTCAAGCCTGAGGTTATCAAACGGCGACGTAAAGGCCTTTTATCCCTTCCCATATAATTTGACATGTGACACTTGGTTACCGTCTTATTTAGAACAGATTTTGCTAAGGTTTGAACAATGTCTGATCGAAATCCCATGGAAAGTCACAGCTTTGTTTTCACACTAAATGTCAAAACGAAATAATATTCTGTATTTGAAAAAAATAACTACAGAGATTTCGAAACTCTTGACAATAAAACACCGGTTCCCTCATTTAGCTATTGACGGTTTTTTTTTCAGTCGATCAAAGAAATGCAAACTCACCGAGACATGTTAGAGGTTGCGCTCATGATAGGGTTTCGAAATAACTTCTAGTACCACACTCTGCCGTAGCGTGTACAGTTTTACATGTTGACAAATTGACTGAATGTTACACTCTTTAAACTGTTTTAACAGAATATCAACTACAACACCACCTTCTACGCGCTACCTGTGGTCCTGGTTTCCGTTCAGCACTATTACGACCGCAACAAGAAAAACATCATTCTACCAGAAAATAATATTGTCACAGCATGGGTGGAGGTATGCTAGGTGATACTTTTCTCCAATTCTTCGCTTATTTTTAATTCTTGAACATGCGGCGCAAAGTCAACTTCATCAAAGCTACTTCTGTTCCATTTCAGGAAGTTGGACTGAAATCCATGATGATTTGTGTCAGAGACTTGAGTGGGATGGGGACAAAACACGATCCTCTGTCGGTCAATTATATTGTCACTGGAGGTGAGTGCGTTACAGGCAAAATCAACGCTTCGATGACTTCAGAGTATGCAAGGATGGCACAGATGTTTAGTGCGCGGCTCTCGGTGCGTGAGATCCCAAGCTCGATCCCCGGTGACACTATATTTTTGTTTATAACATCTCTCCTTTCTGTGTAGCTTCAACTACCTTTAAATACCCTTAAAATGGAGCGTTGATGGAAAGAGAGGGGTAAAATGAGCGAGCCGTCGACTTTAAGATTATCGGTTGAATTTCTGTCAAACGTTATCGACGTAAAATATGGTTCCTTTGCCTTAACCTTTTTTTAAAATCATGTTCAGCAAGAGAGAATAGCTCAAACGTTATAATTTTTTGTTTCATATACACTGCATATATTAAATAACTTACAACTTAGAAGGGAAACTGTTACCTATTGGGTACATTTACATTTGGAGTTAACTGCGAACTGCTTTCATGTCTGAACGAACTAAATCATTAGTTCTTAAACAAGAGCGTGCATCTCCCATACTTTGCTTATGCGACGGCGATTTCACAGATCAGTTTATTTTTAGCATAATTTTGTAGCACTACAAGGTTCCCTCGAAATTGGAAGCACCGTCTCGTATGCGTGCGTGTCCATAGTACGCATATGCGTCCGCGTTCATAGTACGATAATAACAAACAGAAAAAGTAAATGCTGTCAAAACATCAGAAACACTGTCTTCTAGTCTCTGCTTTTTGATTATTTATTTGTAAGAATTATTTGATGGTCAAAATTCGAGGGAAAATCGAACTAAAAATAGACTGGTCTGTGAATACGCCGTTGCANCCGAGACATGTTAGAGGTTGCGCTCATGATAGGGTTTCGAAATAACTTCTAGTACCACACTCTGCCGTAGCGTGTACAGTTTTACATGTTGACAAATTGACTGAATGTTACACTCTTTAAACTGTTTTAACAGAATATCAACTACAACACCACCTTCTACGCGCTACCTGTGGTCCTGGTTTCCGTTCAGCACTATTACGACCGCAACAAGAAAAACATCATTCTACCAGAAAATAATATTGTCACAGCATGGGTGGAGGTATGCTAGGTGATACTTTTCTCCAATTCTTCGCTTATTTTTAATTCTTGAACATGCGGCGCAAAGTCAACTTCATCAAAGCTACTTCTGTTCCATTTCAGGAAGTTGGACTGAAATCCATGATGATTTGTGTCAGAGACTTGAGTGGGATGGGGACAAAACACGATCCTCTGTCGGTCAATTATATTGTCACTGGAGGTGAGTGCGTTACAGGCAAAATCAACGCTTCGATGACTTCAGAGTATGCAAGGATGGCACAGATGTTTAGTGCGCGGCTCTCGGTGCGTGAGATCCCAAGCTCGATCCCCGGTGACACTATATTTTTGTTTATAACATCTCTCCTTTCTGTGTAGCTTCAACTACCTTTAAATACCCTTAAAATGGAGCGTTGATGGAAAGAGAGGGGTAAAATGAGCGAGCCGTCGACTTTAAGATTATCGGTTGAATTTCTGTCAAACGTTATCGACGTAAAATATGGTTCCTTTGCCTTAACCTTTTTTTAAAATCATGTTCAGCAAGAGAGAATAGCTCAAACGTTATAATTTTTTGTTTCATATACACTGCATATATTAAATAACTTACAACTTAGAAGGGAAACTGTTACCTATTGGGTACATTTACATTTGGAGTTAACTGCGAACTGCTTTCATGTCTGAACGAACTAAATCATTAGTTCTTAAACAAAAGCGTGCATCTCCCATACTTTGCTTATGCGACGGCGATTTCACAGATCAGTTTATTTTTAGCATAATTTTGTAGCACTACAAGGTTCCCTCGAAATTGGAAGCACCGTCTCGTATGCGTGCGTGTCCATAGTACGCATATGCGTCCGCGTTCATAGTACGATAATAACAAACAGAAAAAGTAAATGCTGTCAAAACATCAGAAACACTGTCTTCTAGTCTCTGCTTTTTGATTATTTATTTGTAAGAATTATTTGATGGTCAAAATTCGAGGGAAAATCGAACTAAAAATAGACTGGTCTGTGAATACGCCGTTGCATGGACACAAGGGAGTTGCTCTCTCCGTGCTTATGGACTCCTGGTGAAACTATTGTGTTGGCAAGATTAGGATGCTCTGGTAGTAAAACTAACCTCACATTTAATTTCAAGCGTAATCAAGCTACATTAGTTTTTGTTTTTCAGACCTCGATCCTTGCCTTAATGTCGTTTGTCCGTCTTTTGGAGTCTGCAAGGCATACAGTCCACATGAAACACGCTGCGTGTGTTTCGAAGACTGCCCCACCTATCAGGACCCAGTATGCTCTGGGAGTGGAACAACATACGACAACAAATGCTGGCAAGAATTGAGCTACTGCAAGGGACTGGATAATACCCTTGTCTACCATCCTGGGAGCTGTGAAGGTGGGAATAATTGATTTTTAGAGGGAATTCTTATATTCAGGGTCCGTACTCTTTTGAGCTCTATAAATTCCCTTACTTTCCACGACTTTTTATAGACCTTTTCAAGTTTTCCAAGACCTTAGGTTTAGTTGTCAGTTTCAAAAAGTTTTAAAATTTCCCCCGTTTTGGGGTATTTTTTTTTCTTAAACAGTTCAACAGTCACAAACTCTGGTGTTCACCAAAATGCGTGCCGTTTGCGCTGTTTAATTACTCCCCCCTATCTTACATTGTCCTTGCTTTGTCATCTGCAGTAACTAAACCACCAAACAAAACTTTAATTTTCCATGACTTTCAAGGACCGACAATTAAATTCCATGACTTTCCAGGCCTGGAAAATAAAATTCTTAAATTCCATGACTTTTCAGGTTTTCCATGACCTGTACAAACCCTGTGTATTTACGATAGGATGGTTCTTAGTCTCATTTATTCTTAATACTCTTTTTAAAAGGTTTTCCAGTTGTTCATGGCCGTGTTGACCTTCACCGAGCCCCAAAATGGACAGATTCCACCTGCCAGACGGTGTATTTCCCGCCTTATCGCTTTTATCCGGATAAACAAGTTTATGTTCAAGTTACTGTTAATCACGTGAAATTGAATGACTCCGTGACAGTCCACGATGCCGTCACTTCATGGACTGAAAGTGTTAACACCCAAAACTTTACAGTTTGCGTTATGCAGGCAGGAAGAAAGAGTGGAGAAATTCTTAATCCCTTCGCGACAGTTGATTGGCTGGCTTACCAAGGAGCACCACCCAATGGAATGACGGGAACGATTAAGATGCAAAAGTGGTGGTCTGGAACGAAATGTGAACATGTAGCTTTTCCCAGGGTAAAATAACAAAATTCTTTATACCCTACTCGGAAAGGAGGCCAGAAGGCAGCACCCTGAATACACTGAATGAAGCAGCCTCGTTTTCACCTTGGTCACACTGTTATTTTTATTTATTTATTTATTTATTTTTCACACTGTTATTTTGGCCTTGTCCCCCGTTCTCCAGGACCAAAGTGTTTTCTTGAACAAGACGGACCGTTGCCTTCAAAAATTTGGAATAAAAAAAATTCTCTTCCAAGCTTTTTTAATGAATAATTTTTTGGGATTTTATTATTGTTACGAACGGCAAATGATTGTCTTTGCTGTACTATGGGAGTCACTTTAATAGCTAGGATCGGACGGCGCACAAAACGGATTCTGTACAATTTTCGGACGATAAATGTCTAACCTCAGATTCTCTAATCTTACGCAGAACAAGTTTGAGGATATACCTCTTGTTCTTGTGACCGCGGAACACGTGAGGACTGGAAAGGAGTATGATGCATCCCTTATATGGACAGAAGACCCAAATAAGGACTCATTTAAAGTCTGTCTTCGTGAAATGCAGAACTTTGATGGAAAACATGAAGACATTACCGTGGTATGTTCTCGTTTTAATGTTTCAAAAATCTTATTTTTAAAAAAGTTAAATATAAAATGGTGGAATATGATCGTCCCGTTGAGTGTAGTCCGTGGGTCAATTAAATAAAACTTTTACAAGTCACAGGGTAATTAACAGGTGTATTATCCTTTTACAATGTTAAGACTCTCCCTTCACAATACTCACATGTTGAACCCCTTGACGTAATATGACCACCTTACATCCAAAACAAGCTTTAGAGGAATTATATCTCCTAGAAAAAAAGAAGCTGAAAATTCTAAGAAGTCGAACTATTCTAGAACAAATAACTTCCAAAAGCTTCATTGCGCGAACAGAATTCTCAAAACGTACCAGTTTTAAGCCAGTGAGCACAAACGAGGCAGGTGTCCCTGAAGCAACTAGCAGAAACATTGATTCAGTGTCAAAACTAGATTATGCCGATCTGGTTTTTTGCCCTGTACCACAATTCTTACTTCGCCGTTTGCAACGAGTTCAATTTGCTGCCGCAAGTTTTGTACTCGGTCACTATGTTAAGAACTTTCGGGATGTACTTAAAATCGGATGGCTTCCAATCAATGAGAGAAGAGATCTGAACCTCCTGAAATCATGCTTTAAAGCTTTGTATAACACTGAGACTTGGCCAGATTATCTTAAAATAATAAAACAGGAATGCCGCAAGGAACTGCTCTCAAGCAATTCAATAAGATTAGTGGCCCGACCGAAAACGGCACTTTCCAAGATAATGCGTCGAATCTGTTTAACAATCTAACAGAAACTATTAGAAACTGTAAAGATTACAGAACCTTTTTAAGACTTTCAAGGAATTTTTTATGTAACAGAGTACAGAGTGATTAGTTAGTTTTACTGTAATTTCGATTATGTTAATCCTGCTTCTACTTTTAATTATATATTGCATAATTTGTAAATAACTTATAATAATTTGATTTATTTAATTGTAATTGATGTACTTTAACAGGGAGGAGCCACCCAGTGGATCTGTTAATAAACCATTATTATTATTATTATTATTATTATCATTATTATTGTTATTATTATTATTATTATTATTATTATTATTATGATATGTTTTGAACCTAGGAGTCACGTCAAAATTAAAATGAATATGTCCTTTTGTGTTAGTGCGTGCAGAAGTTATTATACCAGTCAAAGCGGCTTCTCTTTCCTCTGTTGTAGCCACAGATGTTTGGCCTAAAACGGATGGCAAATTACTGATATCGCGGTTTAGCTGATAGACGAGAAATGACATCCTGACTTTATTGACTAGTCATAAGAAAGCAAGAGAAGGAAAGTTACATCTAAACTTTCATTGATTGTAGTGCTGTTTTAATTGTAAAAAAACTTTGTTTCAGACCTGGCTGGTATTTGATGAGCTGAGCAAACCGTTCTTCACTGAGGGTAATTCTGTAGGGTTTTTAAACAAAAAGCCACCAAAAGATGAAGATAACAACGCTTACTGCCAGGTGAGTAAAAAGGAAGAAAAACACAGTTGAAATGACATATAAAAGGAAATACCGTATTTATTCGATTAAACGCCGCCCTCGAATAGACGCCGCACCTAATCAGAAGAATGAGGCGTTTACTCGACGATAATAAGAAAAACCTCGGCACAACTTGGTAATTTACACCATTCAGACACTTACGATTTTATCTCAGCAAAATAAGAGAGACATTGGAACCTTAAATTACATAATATTTACAAACGATTTACAATAACTGTTGTCAGTGATTTTTAAAAAAGTGATTTCGCAATAAACGCCGCATTAGAAACGTTAAAAATTAAATAATCGCCTTGGCGTTGTTCGAATAAATACGGTAAACACAAATTTTATGTCGGAATACTAAGAGAAAAGAGGGCGGAAAAATTGTCTTAAAAATCAGAGACAGATCTGTGAGCAGCTAAGATTCTTTTCCTGTAGCAACAAAGTTCATTTTAAAAAAGCGGACGCTTACTCCTTGGTTTCTATATTAGCGTAATTTTTTTTCAGCTTATTTATTTTAAATGACAGTTTGTGAAGTTTGAAAGAGGCTACAACACGACACCCTCGGTGTTACTTACAGCCAATCACAGCAGCACGGCTCCTGGAAACTCCCCACCAGTGCATAATGGCATTACAACATGGATTGAGGTAAAAGAAAGGAGAAGTGTGACGTCACGTTGTTACTGTAGCGATATATGTTAATCTTAACGACCTTTCTTGACAGACACCATTTGCATTGTCGAACGATTGCTGAAAACTATGGGCTAGCGTTTTTTGCTTTCTTTTCGGAAATTTATAATTATTATCAGCACCACGGCTTGTTGTGATCCGGAAATTTTGCTACCACGGTAACGTGACGTAACGACTTCTCTTCTCTATTTAAAGCATCCCGTTTGTCGAAAATCATTGTCTTTTCTAAGCAAAGGAACAAACTATTAAAATGATGCAATGTCGGAGTCATACACAGGTGTACTTCTTCCTTGAAAAGTCATTATGTTTGATCGTACGGACCAGCCTGATCTCCTATTAGTGACGTCATTCATTCCACGGGCGGAAACCTAATTGACTGGAAATCTATTTAAATTATATTGTGCGGTGGGCACTTAAGTTTCCGGCGAATTGATGGAATTGAGTTTTGAATATGTGCACCAGGTTGCTCAGCATGATTCAAAATGGCCTTTCCAGATGCTGCATGTTACATGTCAAAAATTAAAATCAGGTTAAAATTTTTTTAAATGTATAGGTTGATCATCAATTTCCTTTGTCTCCTAGCGCTAATTCATGTAAAATGAGGACTGGGAGTCAAAGAAAATTAAGAATCAATCTAGGTTGAAAAATTTTAACCTGAATTTAATTTTGACCTGTAACATTTATAACCTTTGGAAGGGAATTGTTAAATAATCGGACGGATTTATATCAGAAAGCTGAGAGAACAGACAGTAAACATCGCTGATCAGAAAATCACGTGTATGTCTATCCCCGAGTATCCACATCGTTGAAGATTTGTTTGTCTTAGTAAGGTTTTTTTTTATGATACCCGGTGGGCAAATTGTTAGAAAGGTGTATCATCAAAAGAAGAATCTTACCAGTTCAAACTGAAGCGAAAAACCAATTTGTGAAAACGGCCAGATGCGCTTTATTGGTACCTCGATTTTTTTATTTGCAGAACATGAACGCAACCGGTTTCAGGGCGTGTTTGAAGGAGTTGTACGAGACCAGATACGATCCCGTGTCAGTGAGTTATGTGGTACTTACAGGTGAGTTAGCAAGGAATGTGGCTTTTCTTATGCAGCAAAACCTTATGTCTTAGTTAGAAGCAGTTTCACGTACGCTAAATTAACAAATGTCACGTGGAATCATTGCTTAGCGCTTTTATATCTGACTCGTGCCCAGTTGTCGCTCAGTTTCCTATTGATAAAACTAGAGAACCCTGGTCAGTGTTTCCTCCATCCCATCACCCCTCGCGCTCCCTTTAATCACGCTTCTCGCGTTCTATTCCTCGCGTGCCCTTCCGGCATCCAAATAGAGAGGACTATTTTCTCAGGTTATAAGAATTCGTCAGCCCAAAGGCATTAATTCACTAGCATAAGGCGCTAAGTATGAATTCCGGCGTATCTTGGCAATCCGTCGAATTACGTCTCCAGTACTCTACTAACTGACAGCATTAGCCAATAGCCATTACTGAGCTAGAGACCATTTCTTAAATAAATTAAACTTTACGTCTCCGCAGATATCTGTGATCCTGGATGGAGCTATTTCAATGGATTCTGTTATTTTACGAGTGAAAAATGCCTTAACTGGACAACAGCTCTCACCAAATGTCGTCAGGAAAACTCGGTCCTTGTTGATGTTACTAATGATGAGGAAAATGTTTATATTCAACATCGCCACAATGGAAAAAAATCCTGGCTGGGCTTGAATGACGTCTCTACGGAGGGTAACTTCACTTGGGCTGATCGCGGTGAGGGGAACTTTACAGCTTGGGCGAAGAATCAGCCAAACAACTTAAACGAAGAAGACTGCGTTCACGCACTCGGTCTTAGATACAACTATGAATGGAATGACGTGAAATGTAGTGATTGTCATCAGTACACTTGTAAGAAAGGTAAGACGATAGCACTATTAAGCACTGTGTGTTTTTCTATTTGTTTCAGACGCTTCAGTGGTACTTGTTACCAGTTACAGCTTGCTTTTGCAAAGCGGAAGTCAATAATACTAGCTTACACTGTTTGATGTGAACAAAAAAAATTTTAGCTGAAAAACCATTAACAAAAACATCTTCACCACTTATTACAAAGCTTATCTTTTTTTGACAATAAAATGAGTGTGAGCCTTCATATAAAGACTTTGTAAAGAAAAAATTTTGCATAATGAAAGATGTTATTAACAGTGGTATGCCTTTGTATGGTAGAGCTCGTTTATCGTTGTTTTCAATATAGTCACTTTGTTCTTCATCGCAACGAATTGACTGTGTACTGCTAGTCAGTGTGCTATTCTTCATCAGAGGATGTTGTCGATTTACTGCATGTAACACTGGACGAAAACGGATTTACCTCTATAGCAAATTTGGAGCAAACCATCTGCAAATGCAACATTTTCTTAATTTGCTCAATTTTGCCTCATGACGTAGGACCAAATTTGCCATAATTTTGATTTAATGGCAAAGGTGGTATATGCCGCATTTGCCTCAAATTTGCCGCGTGTCTAAAAACAAGGATAACCGTTACTTTATCAAGGCATTTACGGGGGTGTCAAACTTGATAGCAAAACTGACATTTGTCAGGTTTTTGCCCGAATGGGCAAAAGCGATCGAAGATGAATTTTTGAACGCTTTTGCTCTCTATAGCAAATTCGGTCAAAGTAGTAATTTCCCACATTTTTGCTCAATGTAGTAAAAGTGACCACAACTCATTTTTCAACAGTTTTGCCCAGGATAGTAAATCTGAGCAAATATTCATCTTATTTGTGTTTCTCCCAGTGTAGTAAATGAGGTCAAATTATCACTTCTTTCGTATCTTTGCTCAGTGTGGCAAATATGATCAAAATAGTCGTTTGCCACTGTTTTGCTCAGGGTAGCAAATTTGGCCAAATACCACTTTATTCTCAATTTTGCTCAGGATGACAAATATGATCAAAACAGTCGTTTCCCATACTTTTCCCCATTGTAGCAAAGTTGATTAAATATCAGTTCTTCTGCATCTTTGCTCAGGATGGCAAATATTGCCATAATAGCAGTTTTCCATACTTTAAGTCAGGAAAACAAAGTTGATTAATATATCACTTTTTTAAACTTTCGCTCAAGATAGCAAATTTGATCAAAACATCATTATCCACATGTTTCTTATTTTTATTTGGTACCATAAATGACTGACAAACAATTTGGACACCAACCAAAATTTCAAGAATAAAATGACTTTATTATCCTTAATATACACTGTACAATAAAAAGTAAGCTAAATTAAAAGAAAGTTCCATTGGCCTCTGCAGGGCACTGCATGTATCAAAAAATGTATGCCTTTAAATAAAAAGCATGTAAATTGTGAAACTAACTAAATTCATACGTGTATAAGAATATACATTGGGTTTGAAAGTACAAGTCAACACTGGCTGGTTCATAATTATCTAAGGTTGGCCCAGGTTAAACGTAACTCCATTTGAGTGGTATACTTCAAATATACTCTTTCTAGGTTCAATTGATACTATTGGCAAATGGTCGTAAGATAACAACACGTACGCATCACTCCCAATGTATATGTAGGTGTGACATCTTTACTAATGGACAAAACATCAACCACAGGAAATAAAATTAGCTCCAAATTATCATGATAAGCGATATTCCTCAAATAATTATTTATAAGAACTTGCTTTCATCTGATAAATATTATCCACTACCCAAAATAGGCAGTGAATATATATTTGCACCTCGCCATAATTTATATAGTGTATCTAGTGCTATTCACTGACCCCAAGGGGAGATATGATTCATTCTTCACCAAATCAGTTATATAAAAATATTTTTTGTAAATAAAATGTGTTACTATGCGAAAGCTCTGTGCATTTGTGCATTTCTATGATTTCGGACTATTAGTAGCACCGCGGTTGCTAGTGATTCGTGCATTAGAATCGAATTAGAGCCTCACTTATGGTTAGAGGGCCGCTGGTTTCGATCCCAAGCATTTTTAAAATTGTTAGTGTGAGAAGCTCTTCCCTCAGCAGGCCACTGTCGTATCGATCGGCTGCCGTGTTTTCTCCTTCTAGGCATCCACCCTTTGAAAACTCGATTCCACTGTCTCTATTGTAGGATGGACTCTTATGTATGTCTCTGTCATGTTCCTTAATTCATTCTTCTTTATGCGTGAATTTCCTATTTCACTAGTGTATACTTCAACTCATTTGCGAGCAATCTACCTATCTCGACACCACCGTTATATAACATATACCAATTAAACGTTCTATTTATCCTGTCTTTTAATTAGATTTCAACGAATGCGAAAAGAAGACACATTATTGTCACCCATTTGCCCAATGTGTCAATGAACGTGGATCCTATTCATGCAAGTGCAAGCCTGGATTAGTTGGAAATGGATTTCGCTGTCAGACCCCGAGATCCTGCTCTGATATCAGGAAAAGCGTCAGCAACGTAAGCAGAAACTATGTGATTGATCCAGATGGCGACGGAGGTCTGCCACCATTCACAGTTAACTGTGACATGACTGACAAGAATGGTGTTGGCGTGACAGTCATCAGTCACGACAGTGAGAGTAGAACTCATGTGAATGGTTATGAAGCTCCAGGTAGCTACTCACGTGACATTCATTACACAGGAGCGAGTCTTTCTCAGCTGGCGAAACTCACCAGTGTCTCTTCACACTGTGAGCAATTCATTAAATATGAGTGTTACAATTCTTATTTGCTTCTCAATGGCTATGCCTGGTGGGTGTCACGTGATTATACTAAAATGACATACTGGGGCGGAGCATCACCTGGCAGTGGTAAGTGCGCATGCGGGATGACCAAATCATGTACAAACCCCAGTCGTGTTTGTAACTGTGACGCCGTAAAATTAGCCTGGTATGAAGACGGCGGTCTCCTAACTGACAAGACAAAGCTCCCAGTTAAACAGCTCAGGTTTGGTGATACTGGTGCTAATAGGGAGGAAGGTTACCATACGCTGGGCAAATTGAAATGCTATGGCGTAGCGTAA